TTATTTAATACACGAGTTTCACAATTTGAGTTGAATTACTGAAATAAATTAACTTTTCCATGACATTTTAATTTATTGAGATGCACCTGTACGTCAACTTATTCTAACCCTACCACTCTACTAAAATTCTACTAACATTCTATTGAGAGCTAGTAGATATGTAGGTACAACATTACTTACAGTCAACAGAATGTGTTAAAGGGCCTATCAAAATAAACGGAAACCAAAACTTCTTACCAAGATTGGTGCTTGGACCCCTAAACATGTAGGAATTTGTTGGTTTTCTTTTAGCTCAATAAAAAGTCAAGCCAAGCAGGGAAAGAATAATCTGATTTGCTGTCCTTTGTGGGGAAACCTAATGTTTAAATAACAACTATTTCTGCAGACTTACAGATTTTAATAGAACGTAACAGGACTTGTGAATGACTGTGTTTGTAGTAAATCATTTGATTCAGTAACACCCTCTAAAATACAGCATAAAAAACACTTGTCATCTTTGGAAACCTGCAAAAAGTACAACTAAACCAATCAATGAACAAATCTTAACAAATCAATAAACAAATCATTTAACAAATCTGATCAGCCAAATTGCTCTGAATATACATTATATATATATATTGTGTATGCCATTTAGTTGATGTTACCTGATGGGGTCTGAATCCTTGATCTGGTTCTTTCTAATATATTCCTCTGGTAGTGCACTCCAGCCAAACACCAGCGGCCATCTGAAAACGCCTCTTTGGAAGTTATCAACAAGCATGTAACTGCGTAGACAAAAAAATATGCTTGTTTTAGCAAAATATTTTAGTGCGTGCATTTTAACAGTTCAGTGCAGCAGTGGAGGAATGATACATTGGAAAGGGCTATTGAGTCTCATAGGGACATGGATATGTGCTACGGTAATGTGCCATGTACAAAATGGGGAGCACAGCATTTATTTAATTGCATGACTGAATATACTTCATTACCTCATGTCCTTATCACTGATGACCTCAATAACAGGACAGACCACTTTCTTGTGGTCCAGGTAAACTCTTTCTAACAGTGGCTCCAGCCACCCCACGTTACACTCAACGTGAGAGTCCAGGAATGTCAACACTTCACCTGAAGATAAAACAACATCTGCTGAAACAACCAATAAGGCCATACACTAAAACAATATGCATATTATACAACAGAGATGCGATATAACAGAGATGTCTATTCTATGCATTCCAAACAGATTAAATTAAGCACAAATCCATGGATTGAAACGTTGCAACTACACTGAACTGAATCGAATGTGAGTGTACAGTACCTGTAGCAGCGGCGGCCCCTGCGATTCTGGCTCTGATTAGGCCTTGTCTCTCTTTCAGACGGATGATTTGTACTTTAGGGAACTGAGACATATAAACATCCAACTGCTCCTTCAGGTAGTCTACAATAGAAACAGAAATAAATTTAGTCATACAGAAACAAAAATGCAGAAAAGTCTTCTTCAATTAGAGGTACTTATCTTTCTTTTATGACAGTTTTAAAGTAAAAATGCTTAAAAAAAAGACTGTTCAGGCTTTTTAACTTCCCTTTTAAAAGAAGTGTATAGTAAAATCAAGAAACTTCTACTTTGAACACCAGATTTTCAATTCATTGGGTGTACAATTTATTTTTACAACAATGAATTGCGGATCCAACAACTACACAAATGTAAAAATCTTTTCTTTTCTTTCAGTATTCATATTTGGTATCAGAGGTGCTTTCTTTACCATGCCATACCATTCTTTACCATAACAGCACGCTGTGTCAAATGTTAGTCTTTAAAAAAAAAAAAAACACTTCTCAAAACATTTGCACTCTGTTCCATTCCATTAATTTGATTGAATTGAATTGAATTGAATTGAATTCAATTCAAGTTTATTTGTATTGTGCTTTGCATTGTGAAAATTTTAAGTTTCTACATTACATTTAGGAGTAGGTTATTAGTGGTGACTATGGCAGAAATGTACAGTAAGATTCATGCAGTTTATTACACGTAATCAAACAGACAGTGAACACTATTAACTGCAATGATTATATGTTGCAATTAAACTTTGCAATTAAGCAAAATTTGGTAGTTTTATATGTTGTTCCAGGGTAAGCATCATCTGAGGGGGGTTGGCATCATCTCTTCTCAGGTGTTCGGTCATCTCAGATCTTCAAAACACATTTAACTGTTTCAATGCAAAAATACATTCAATGTAAATTCCAAATGCCCCCAAGATCCTCTTGAAGGGTGATGACATCCATGCGTATATTTTTATTTTAGGACTTGTGATGTTTTGTCATAGACTAAGCAAGTACAGTTTGAAAAAGTTTGACTTTTCAAGATTTTGAGTGGGCAAAGGAGTACCTTATTGAAGAATTAACTACCTACTCTATGGATATCTGTGAAACATAAGCTTGTTTTGAACCATATTTACCTCTGTGTTTAGTGCTGCTCACTTGCAAGTTTGTATCAACCAAACTGGATTTTAAAACTATGTGTAAAGGTCTTAAGCTTTTATCTATTAAACCCTGTCAATGAACTCACTTGATTAAATTATTTCTTTAAAATGTGAGCCAATCCCTCAAACCTTTGGTGCTGCAGTCGTCCACCAGAATGATCTCTTTGAGCAGGTGTGGAGGAGACCTGTTGAGCACACTGTGCACCGAGCGCAATAGAGTGGACCAAACCTCATCCACAAAACAGAAGATCACACTGGTACTGGGCAGGTCATCATGAACAAGGTTTTCCGAACATCTAAACAACATAGGATATGGAGGTGTTACACATATCTTGCCATAACAGAAAATTTGTCATGACCTGCAGGACTACAACAAAAATAATCTATGGTTCAAACTCACATTTGAGGTCTGGTGTCTGGGATGGCTCTGTCTATTGGTATCTGTTCACTCAGGAATACATTAAAAAATCCTTCACTCCAGCGTCTTTGACTCTCCAGTTCTTTATCTCTGGGAACTCTTGCAGGCTGGCCAAACTGTCCCACAGCCCTGGGATCTCTGGGCCTGTCTGTTACATCTAGGGCCATAACCTTATGATGCCCTCCTGACCTCCTCACCCGCACACTTGTAGGCTGCGGTACTCGTAATGCCTCCTCTGCTGGGTCCTGAGCCTTAAGTTCACTTGGTTTTTGAATAATATGTGGTTTCGTTTTGATGAAAGTACTGCCATGTTTCTCTGAATTTTCAATCATGTTCATCGGTTTATCACCCTCTGCTGGTTTCAGCAATTTATTACTCAAGTTCTTTCGTAAACCTGCATCTACATGTACTTCATTATGTGGCATCACTACTGTGTCATTAATATGATGTACTTTCTTCACACTGAGCGCAGGAGGATATGCTTTCTCCTGGACAACAGGCAGTGCTTTAGTAAGCAAATGTGCTTTGACGTCTAGATTTGCATCTTTCTGTCCATTAAAAGCAGCTTTTATTTTGTTTATCTTTGTGCTTATATTCGTCACTTTGCCATTAATAACAGTTTTTGTCTTGTTTATTTTTTCAGGGATGCTAATAATTGTTCCCTTCACAAGTGAGTTCACAATTAGATTCACTTTACTTTGATTAATTACCTCATTTTGTTTCACAAAATACTTGTCAGCCATAGACATTGGGTTCAAATGTTTGTCTTGTTTTAACTCAGCTTGATTTTCTGGCCTCGCCATTGGCCTCTTTCTGTAAACCTTATCAACTTTCCTTTCAAACCTGTTGCTGTTTTTCAAAAACTCCTTTTTGTCTATATTTACTTTTTGCAGGGGGTGTTTGAGCACATCCTGTACATTGTTTTTCCTCCTTCCCTGATTTAGTACAATCTCTCTCTCTTTGAGATCCTGATTCACATCATTGATGATGGATATCCGCAATGCTGCGATGTCAAAAAGGAGCCAGATTACAGACGCGATAAACACAAAAGCCAAGACCCTCCCACTGCCCCTTAAATACTTCCTAAATTTCATTATTTTAGTACTATGAATTCTTTTCAAGTATTTTCAGTTCACGCTCAGTTCGGTTCTGAAAGAGAGTGAATTCACATTCTTTAATATGACTAGCCTACCTGAATATTAAAAAGTCGGAAACAAATTAGAAACAGAGATACGACTTCGGTTAAGTATGTTGGCTAAGGAACAAACGCAGTGGTTAAAAAAGCATTCAGTTTTTAACAACATAGCAGAGAATCCGCGAACGTTGCACGAAATGACCAGCAGAACTAAAATGAAACCACTATGTCGCTATGGTTACAAGCGTTATTTAAGCTATCGCGATAATAAAAACGGGATTTGATTGTGGTTTACCTGGACTTACAGAGACGATCTTCATTACCCTCGCGACTGCAGTAAATAGACAATTTGAGAGCACACAACTTGTTAGCGAGTGTGTGAATGGAACCACAGAAGGGCATCCCGAACTCAAAAACGACCGCATGGCAACATTTCTGCCGTATGACCTAAATTAAACTCTGGCAAACTTCCGCGGTTTAGACACAACATATATTCATATGAGAGCTTTCGTTTCAAATGACGCTCTGAAATAGTCGTGTTAAAGTTCCTTGTTGAGATCGGCGTCGAAAAGTTTGTCATCACTCTCGTGCTGCTCCGGTCCTTTCAAATGAATGTTTTCTGCACTCGTTTCGATATTCCGACAGATTCACCTCGACAGTTCTCCGGTGATATGAGCACACACACACAGTTGTGTTCATGTCTTCCCCTGGGTTTTAGACATCCTACTTTAAATCCGCAGTTCCTGCTGGCGTTTTGACCATCAGACCTGCCCTGTTTTACACGCACCCACACTTAGCCTATGTGACGACGTGTCAATATTTAGAGCGATCATTGGGATGCATTAAGAAATGAATTCCCGATCAGGTTGTGGTTAGAGTTAGACACATTTAAAACGTTTTAAAAAGGACCACTACCATTTTTTTGGTGCATGGTATGTGGTATGGTATGCACAGTATGCCTTTCTTATAAGTATACTTTGAAATACTAGGTGTGGGCAGTATTAGCCTACCTTTTCTTATAATAATTTACACAGAATAATTCTGTAACATATGGGAACATAACATGACTAAAATTGTCATGATTAACACAAAAACAACAAAACTATATATA